AAGTGCTAGAAGGAAAACCTAGATCCAAGGATGATAACTACATTCAGAAAGATACAGGCAATATATAATCCCACTTTACAAAACACCAAAAGAAAAAGGGAGGAGAAAGTACACAAAATAACTTCACTAACAATAAATCAAGCACAAACAAGAATCATCAATCAATTGTCATCAATATCCCTCAATGTCAACAGCTTCAGTGTGCCTATAAAAAGACACAGACTAGCAGAATGGATACGAAGACAGAACCCTTCCTTCTGCTGCATACAAGAAACACATCTCAACATCAAACACAGATATTATCTCAGAGTAAAGTGTTGGGAAAAGATCTTCCAATCAAAGAGTCCCAAGAAACAAGTGGGTATAGCAATCCTAATATCTAACAAATTAGACTTCAAATTAAAATCGATCAAAAGAGATGAAGAAGGACAATTCATATTCATCAAAGGAAAAGTACATCAAGATGAAGTCTCAAATTGAAACATTTATGCCCCAAATAAAAAGGAACCTACATTCGTGAAAGAAACACTACTAAAGTTCAAAATGCAAATAAAATCTCACACACTAATAGTAGGAGGCTTCAACACTCGGCTCTCACCGCTAGACAGGATCTCCAGACAGAAACTTAACAAAGAAACAAAAGAACCAATAGAAGTTATGACCCAACTGGGTTTAACAGACACCTATAGAATAATCCACCCAAATACAAAGGGATATACCTTCTTCTCGACACCACATGGAACCTTCTCTAAAATTGACCACATAATAGGAAACATAGCAAATCTCCACAGATACAAAAAATTGGAATAACCTCCTGTATCTTATCAGACCACCATGCATTAACATTACAATTCAACAATAATACAAATTGCAGAAAACCTACAAACTCATGGAGATTGAACAATGCACAATTGCGCCATCCCTGGGTAAAGGAACAAATAAAAAAGAAATTAAAGTCTTCCTCGATTTCAATGAGAATGAAGACACAACATACACAAACTTATGAGACACTTTAAAGAAGTGCTGAGAGGAAATTTTATAGCACTAAGTGCCCACATGAAAAAATGGGAGAACAGTCATACTAGAGAATTAATAGCACAGCTGAATGTTCTAGAACAAAAAGAAGCAAACTCCCCCAGGAGGAGCAGATGCCAGGAAATAATCAAACTGATGGCTGAAATCAATCAAGTAGAAACCAGGAAAACACTGAGAAGAATCAATGAAACAAAGAGTTGCTTGTTTGAGAAAATCAACAAAATAGACAAAGCTCTGTCCAAACTAACCAAAAGACAGAGAGAGAGCATGCTAATTAACAAAATCAGGAATTAAAAAGGGGACATAATAACGGTCTCTGAGGAAATCCAGAGAACCATCAGGGCATGCTTTGAAAACCTGTACTCCACACAATTTGAAAATTTAAAGGAAATGGACAATTTCCTGGATAGATATCACTTGCCAAAACTAAATCAAGAACAGATAAACAATATAAACAGACCTATAACCCCTAATGAAATAGAAGCAGTCATCAAAATCTCCCAAACAAAAAAAGCCCAGACCCAGATGGCTTCAGTGCAGAATTCTACCAGAAATTCAAAGAGGAACTAATTCCAATACTCCTCAAAATACTCCACACAATAGAATCAGTAGGCTCACTGGCAAACTCTTTTTACAAGGCTACAATTACCTTGATACCCAAGCCACACAAAGACACAACTTAGAAAGAGAACTATAAACCAATTTCCCTCATGAATATCAATGCAAAAATACTCAATAAAATACTCGCAAACCGGATTCAAGAACACATCAGAAAAATCATCCAACATGATCAAGTAGGCTTCATCCCAGGAATGCAGGGATGGGTCAACATAAGAAATTCTATCAATGTAATCCACCATATTAACAATCTGCGAAAGAAAAACCACATGATCATCTCACTAGATGCTGAGAAAGCCTTTCACAAAATCCAGCACCCCTTCATGATAAAGGTCCTCGAGAGATCAGGGATAACAGGAACATACCTGAATATAATAAAAGCAATATACAGTAAACCAACAGCTAACATCATACTAAATGGAGAGAAACTCAAAGCAATTCCACTAAAATCAGGAATAAGGCAAGGCTGTCCACTCTCTCTATATCTCTTCAATATTGTACTTGAATTTCTAGCTACAGCAATGACAGCAAAAGAAGATAAAGGGGATACAAATAGGAAAAGAAGAGGTCAAACTTTCACTATTTGCAGATGATATGATAGTTTACATAAGTGACTCAAAAAACACCGCAAGGTCACTCCTAGAGCTGATAAACACCTTCAGCAATGTGACAGGATAGAAGGTAAACTCAAGAAAATCAATGGCCCTATTATATACAGATGATGAAGTGACTGAGAAAGAAATAAGAGAAACAACACCCTTTACAATAGCCAAAAACAGCATCAAATATCTGGGGATAATGTTAATCAAGGAAGTGAAAGACCTGTATATCAAGAACTTTGTGTGTTTAAAGAAAGAAATCAAAGAAGATACCAATAATGGAAAGATCGCCCATGCTCTTGGTAGGATCAACATAATAAAAATGGCAATCTTGCCAAAGCATTCTACAGATTCAATGCAATCCCTATCAAAATTCCGGCACAATTCTTCACAGACCTGGAAAGAACATTAATCAACATTATATGCAAAAACAAAAGGCCCAGGATAGCGAAAACTACCCTATACAATAAAGGAACTTCAGGAGGCATCACCATACCTGACTTCAAGCTCTATTATAGAGCTCTAGTCATGAAAACAGCTTGGTATTGGCACAAAAATAGGCAGGTAGTCCAATGGAACCGAACTGAAAGCCCTAATTTTAACCCACACACCTATGAACACTTGATTTTTGACAAAGAAGCTAAAACTGTACAATGGAAAAAAGAAAGCATCTTCAACAAATGGTGCTGGCATAACTGGTTACTGGTATGCAGAAGACTGCAGATAGATCCATTTTTATCGCCTTGTACAAAATTTAAGTCCAAGTGGATCAAAGATTTCAACATAAATCCAGCCACATTGAAACTTTTAGAAGAGAAAGTGGGAGATACTCTTCAATGAGTTGGTACAGGACACCACTTCCTAAACATAATACCAGAGGCACAGACACTGAGGTCACCAATTAACAAATGGGACCTCCTGAATCTAAAAAGCTTCTGTAAGGCAAAGGACACAGTCAACAAGACAAAAAGGAAGTCCACAGAATGGGAAAAGATATTCACTAACCCTACATCTGACAGAGGGCTAATCTCCAAAATTTACAAATAACTTAAGAAACAAGTCTCCAAAACACCAAAGGATCCAATTAAAAGGTGGAACTAAATAGAGAGTTCTCAATAGAGGAGTCTAAAATGGCCAAGAGACACTTAAGAAAGTCCACAACATCCTTAGCCATCAGGGAAATGACAATCAAAACAACTCTGAGATACCTTCTTACACCTGTCAGAATGGCTAAAATCAAAAACAACGAAGACAATTTATGCTGGAGAGGATTTGGAGAGAGGGGAACAATACTCCACTGCTGGTGGGAGTGCCAACTCGTACAGCCTCTTTGGAAATCAGTATGGAGATTCCTCAGGAAAATGGGAATTAATCTACCACAATACCCAGCAATTCCACTCTTAGGCATATATCCAATTGAGGCAAATTCATACAACAAGGAAATCTGCTCCACTATGTTCATAGCAGCATTATTTGTAATATCCAGAACCTGGAAGCAAGCTAGATGCCCCTCAACTGAAGACTGGATAGAGAAAATGTGGTACATTTACACAATGGAGTGTTACTCAGCAGAAAAAAACAATGGAATCTTGAAATTCACAGGTAAATGGATAGCACTGGAAGAAACCATCCTGAGTGAGGTAAGCCAGTCGCAAAAAGACAAACATGGTGTGTATTCACTCATATATGGATTTTAGACATGGATCAATATAGTGCCTGTCTGCACTTCCACTGATAGAGAGTCTGGGAAACAGGAAAGAACCTAAAATATATGCATATATGCATAGTACCCAAGAGAAGAGGATTGAGACAAGATCTTCTGAATGGATGGGGAACACCGTGAGGGCTGAGGGGGGAGTGGAAGCTGGGAAGAAGTGAATGGAACAAGAGGAAGAGAGAGTAGGTCATGGGGGAATAGGAAGTTGAGTGGGTGGGTGTAGAATAGGGGGAAGAGGGAATCATAGGTTAGAATACAGTTCAGGCACCAGAGTGACCTCTAGTGATCTAAAGCGATAACACCAATTGGCAAGTTAAGCAATAGTGAAGAGACCACCTCGAATGCCCAATTCTGATAATGAAGTTGATGTCGATAACCATCCATTAGCCTTCATCCAGTGATTAATGGAAGCAGAGGCAAACACACAATTAAGCACTGAACTGAACCCAAGGATCCTAGTGACAGAGAGAGGAGTGATGAGCAAATTGGCAAAAATGGGCTGGCAAAACCAGCAGAGACAGCTTATCTGAATAGGGGAGTGCTCTTGGACCCCAGGTCGACAGCAAGGATGCCAGCATGGGACTGATCTGGACCCCCCAAATGTGAGTGTCAGCGAGAAGGCCTGGGCACCCTATGGGGCCCTGAGCTGTGGATCAGTGTCTATCCCTGGAATACAAATTGTCATAGTGTGCCCATAGCACAAAGAGGGATGCTCTCTCTGCCTGGACTCTTAGGGGAGTGCCTCGACCCTACCCTGAGTGAAATGAGGGACTCTAGATATCCCCTATGTGGAAGGAATTGACAATAGTGTGGGAGGCTAGGGGGGGAAGGGGAGTGCGGGAGGAGTGGAGGGAGAGGGAACTGGGATTGACATGTAAAACAAGCTGTTTAAAATTAAAATAAAAAATGATAAAAGAAAAAAACGAAAAGAAAGTTTCATGACTGCAGTTCTCCTTTAGATCTTTATTTCATTTGCTTAGATGTTTTAGGATTTGATGGAAATTTTGAATGTTTCTTAGACTTTCATTTACCTGTCTCATTGGAAATTTCATTGTCTGGACAGGAAGTACAATCAAAGCAACACAGATCTTGACCCTCTTTGACAGTTCTTCTGAATCCAGGTTGACAGAGATTAGTGCATACAGATGTAGGGATCTGAAGAAAATGGAAGACATTTTAGAAAATTTTCAGTGTTCTAGGGATAAGTACAGTTATTAAATATTAAATTATTAATTCAGATTTCATACTTGTGATGATAATAGTAATGGTACTACCAGTTTTGGAAGGTTGTGCTCAACAGAAGACCATAGTGATAAAATTTGACTCAAAGACCATGATTTTGTTGGAATTATGTAAACTGTAACATGTTATTGTAGGGTTTTGTTCCATCATATTCTGCAGCTGCCTTGACCCAAGTAAAGACACACACACACACACACACACACACACACACACTTTATTAATTATAATACTGTTGGCAGATGACTAGGGCTTCTTTTTGGATAGCTCTGTCTTAATTATTAACCCATAACTAGTAATCTATCTGTTTTTACATGTCTTTATCTTACCAGACAAAACCTGTTGTGTCCTATCCTCCCAGTCTCTATATGGCGTCCCCTTTGTCTCTCTTTTTTCTACCTGTCCCAGAATTTTCCCTGTCTCCTAGTCCAACCTATCATCCTGTCTCACTGGTTATTGGCCAAACAGTATTTTTCTATCAACCAATAAAGAAACATATACACATAAGGACATCACTCATCAATAAGGGCCATGGTTAATTAGGAAGAACTTTGGTGATAGTGGCCTGTCTATGTATGATTCTAAATTGATCTTTTCTCTGCCTGTATTGACAATAAATCTTTTATTTCCAAAAGAATTGCTAATCCTGTCAGCTTAGAAATACATATAACCAATATGGGATAAATATTTGCAGACTAATCTGAGGTATTGCCACATGAGTTTACATGGATTAGAAAGAGAAATTCTTAAAATGGTTTAAAGTATTTCTTTGGATATTTCATTCTGAATTAAGAGCAGAAATGAAATCAGCAGTTTCATTTACCATTTGTGATTTCTGAATGTAGATATAATATTACCAGTGACTTCCTGTTCCTATAATTATATTTTATACAACTTAATGAAACTGTTCTCTCAATTTGAAAGCCAAATAAATTATTTCAAATATTTTTGTCAACAAATTTGTTTTCAGCTCCAATATAAGTAATTAAGATGCACACATATATCCTTTATACTTTATAGTTTTGATAGAGAATTAAATTCCAGGAAAACTCCTGCAGTTTTACAAGTAGGCATCAAATAAGCCTCATATGAATGTTTTGATGCAATGACATGAATTTTATGTTAGCATATATTTATGACAGGAAATTATTGAAAATTAAGAAATATTGAAAATTCCATTGATCTGAGTGGATGTTGGGTTATTATGGTATTCTGAATTCATAGTTCTATACTGATTGGATCTAAGTGAGAAACTAAGACTTTTACCTATACAAACATGTTTTGTTTTATTTAGTAATTTCAAGCAATTGAAACAAGAACAACCTACTTCTGTAAATCTTGTGGGCCATTGTATCAAATGATTAGTTAAAGACAATTGTTGATCATGTGGAGCATTTGGAGAAAATGATCCTACTTTCACCTTTAGTCCAATCCCTTTTGGGAAATTCCAAAAGTTGATAATGTCATACTTAGAATCTAACTTAGATTTCATATCCATTTCCATATGGCTTCCCACGTGATTATTCATATATTTATTCTGTAGCAATGGGTGGAGCTAAAAGAGATACATGAACCTATTATTAATGTAGGTTTCTGACAGTTGCAATAGAACCAAAATAAGGTTAAGTCTCTGTGTTTTCTGTGCCTGAAGTAAAATGAAACTTTAGTATAGGTAATTTTACTTGGAAATGAGTAATAAATGTAATCCCAACTGATAAGAAATATTATTATAATCATAAAATGTACATCTGTTTCACACATAAGTCAAAGATAAGGCAAATATCAAACCTGGACAGCCCTATTTATTTTGAAATTATACCTAAGCTTTCAATGTATAACATGAAGGTAAAATGTAAAAATGGTAATTAAATGATTATTTACATACCTAACCATTGCTGCAGTGTTTAATAACAATGTGATATTTATGCATCTACGTTTTTATTTCTACTGTGAATAATGTGCAAAGAAAGTCAACCATTTTCTTATTGAAACTATTACCAAGGTGACTCTTAGCCTATTTGTAAAACAAATTTTGTACTGCTTAAAAACATTTTTTGTATCTGGCACCTAATTTATCAGGGAAAAAGAAATTTTTCTAAGTATTGAGCTCCAGAGAAACAAATACATGCATTCCTATGCAATTTGAACACATATACCATAACCTACAGTGTTCAGGTTTGGTAACTTTGAAAACAATCTCAGTGAAACAATGTTGATTTAAAAACATAATGAAGAGATGTTACCTGCCAGGGGAGGAATACAATTTCTGCTCCATTTTTATGTTGCTGAATTTGAATTTGCTTAAGAATCATTGTATGGAGACTGTGGGCCACTGTATACACAGCATTGTATATATAGTAACTCTCTTCACTCATGGCTGTGTCAAAATTTTGCTTAGGCAATAAATCCAAGGAAGCATTGGGTTGACAGTTCTCCAATTTGCAATCACTGTGAGAAAACGGGCATTTAAAAAACAAATGCCATAATTTAGGAAGATATGTATCTTCAGGGTATTTGGAAGGTTGAACAGTTTGTATAAAATTTTCAAATTCCACAATCTCCTCATAGTGGTGTGAAAATGTGAGACTACCATGGAAAGAATCTAGCATAAAATAATCAATGTGGTTGGTAACATCCCATTGTGAGTTCATAACCCAGACTTTCCATGTTGTTAACTTCTGCCCTATATTTTTCATTACACCTTGTAGAGAATCAGTGTCTCCAAAAATGATAATCACATTTGCAGATGAGTCTTGGATTTTTCCCAGACTTTTCCAGAATTTGTGTGAAAATGAGTCCCAGGTTCCTGAAATCATTTCCACAAAAGCCACACAGACTTTATTTTTCTTCATCTCTTGTTTCATGTCAGATAAAATCTGCATTCCTCTGTGGTCATCTGTGAAGATCAGTCCTACCCAGCTCCATTTGAAATGAAGCATCAAAGAGACAATGCCACGTGGCAGAGATATGTCACTGGGAGACATCTGATAGAGAGATGTAAACTGTGTTCGATCACTCAGAATAGTGTTAAAAGGCCCAAAGGTAAGCTAAGGTGAAAGCAGAGTTTTGAAAAAAATATGAGAACATTGCCATCAAATGCAGTTTTACTTTTGAAGCAACAGTTGGGACTTGTAAACATGATAATCTATATATTCTAATTTTTAAGACATACCCCCATGTGAAGTTTCAAAAGTTTATGTCAAGAATACTAAGATTAACAGAACCATTTGTCTTCTTTACCTGTTAGTCCATTCTATCCAGGTAGGTGAAGTATAAATAAATCATTAAATGTCTAGATATTTACTCCTTGTCAGATTAATAATTCAAATGACATATTTTACCTCTGTAGAATCTGAAATATCACCAAAGGAATGCTGATTTCCTGTTCCAGCACACCATGCTCCCTTACCTGCGGCATTTTGTAAAGTTGAAATAGTGTCCCCATATGGGCTGATACTGCAAATGATGTTCCTGTAAGTGCAGCTGCTAACTTCTGCTCCTTTTTACAATTGTAATTAGCTTTGAAATCATTTATCCCTGTGAGCCAAATAAAAGCATTCATAAGAGTATTTTTTTCACTGAAAGGGATATTATAAAGATCAAATCCAAGAGATGTATTAGGTAAAAGATGATGGTTCCTGTTGATCTCCTCAATGGCAAATACCAGAGCCAGGACAAACTGGTAGTTCTTAAATTTATACCTGCAAATAGGATATAAAAATATATAGGAGGCAGGGCTTAGACAACACGTATCTTCTCCTTTAGTTAAAATGTTATTTTTTCTGCAAAACCAATTATTTAAAATTTCCATTAAATGGCTAGAATTAGAAGGGTTGTTTTATAGTTAGGATTAATTATGATCCTATTGTTATAACAGCAATTAATAAAAGCTAAAGGTGAGCATGTTTTATGCACCTTTCTTATGAGAATACATGAAAACTTCTGCCCTGAAAACAGAAAGTAAACCCTCAAATACAGAAATGTTCTGATATTTGGACCATAGTTTCTCAGCCTCTACAAATATATAAAACCAACATTTTAGAATTTAGCAATTAACTTTTCTAAGATAACACTGTTTTGTTTATTTTTGAAACTACAACTTATTTAAAACCTCTCTTCTTTACCTTTTCTACAACTAAATTATCCTGTTTACCCTCCCACATTCTCCTTCAAATTCATAGCTTCATTTTCTCATCAGTTGTTATTGCATGTACATATATATTTCAATCTATTTAATATACCTGTACATATGTTTCAGTTCTGACTAATTAAGGAAATCAAGAAGATACAAATAGAAAGGGTAGAATACAAAGTACCATTTGTTGCTGATGATATGATCATATATACATATGAGTGACTTGAAAATGCTACAACGAAAGTCTTACAATTGATATAGAACTTCCTCAAATTATCAGGATACAAAATTAAAGCAAAAAGTACTAGCCTCCAGATGTGGAAGTGACAAACTGAATGGGAAATAAACTATGATAATATTGTCTGCCATATACTCAACATTGTAAGATAACTTAGGGTATCCTTAAACCAGAAATTAAAAGACCCACATAATCAAACATTTAGGAAATTGGAGAAAAAAATGTAAGAAGATTTCAGAAGAAGGAAAGATCTCCTAAGTTCATGGATTAGTAGAATAAATAGAGTAAAAAAATACAAAAACAAAAATCATAACCAAAGCACTGTACAGCTTTACTGTAATCCCCATCAAACATTCTGCAGTGCTCTGCACAAAAATTAAAAGGAAAATTTTCACCTTTGTATGTAAACACACACACACAAACACACACACACACAGAAACACACGCACACACAACAAACAAAAGCAACAACAATAAAAGTTTGTCTAAAATATTTCTGAACTTCCAGAAGTATCACCGTTCCTGATATCAAGAAGTATTACAGACATTCATGTACTTGTACTTCAGACTTTGAGTAAAGACAAATTGGTATTGCCATAAAAACAGAACTATTAATCTATGGAATCAATTTGAAGGCCCAGACATATATGCACACTCCTGTGAATTCCTTATATTTGACAATGATGTACCTTAAACAAATGCTTCTGGACAAATTAGCTGACTTCTTATAGATGAATGAATATACATTCATGTTTATAAGTCTGCACAAAAATTAATTCTAAATGGAAAAAGGGTTTCAATATAAATTGAGATATGTTATGAGAAGCTTTTTCTTTGCTAACCACTTTGGTTTATCCCCCGCCAGCCGCCTGGGCTCTGCTGCATTGTAGTCCCCAAATAACACACAAGACTCTGTATTAATTATAAAGCTGTTGGCCTTGCTTTTTTCCTACTGGCTAGCTCAGACTTAAGTAATTATCCCATAATTGTTAATCTAAGTATTTCTCTTACCGGAGAATAGTTCCAGGCTTCCTACCACATGGCGGTTACATGTTGACTCTCCTTGTGTTTCTCCTACCCAGAGTCCTTCTGGACTCCTAGTCCCTCCTATCCTGATTCCCTATAGGCCAGACAGTGCTTTATTGACAAATGCACAGGACCTCCCCAACATCTATTCTTTTCTGTTTAAACAAAAAGAAAGGTCTTAACTTTCACATAGTCAAATTATATATAACAGAGCAGTTATCAAATAAGAACATAGTTACAATATTTTAGGAAGATTTAAAGAAAATATCATCCATCTCATCCTTGTGAGTCCAAAGTCCTATATGTAGCTTATCTCTTATCATAACTAAGGAAAATTATAATTATAGCTATCTGTCTTCAACTCCACCAAAGACCACAGAAGGATAATATATAAACACTAGGATTGACAGAGATATCTTACTGCCTGGACAGTCACCCGAAGTTCCTCTGTAACGTTGGGGCATCCATCTTCAGCCCATAGGCCACAATGTGTCTGGAACACTTCTCAGCAAAGCAGGAAATTTCAAACTGTCCATCTGCATCAGCAGTCTGTCAGTCATTTTTCTGTGTCCTGTAGAAAGTCTAGTAGACTCTTTCCATCATGAAGCAGGAACCTGTAAGACTGAGTTCACTAGTCACTTTCCTGTGGGTCCTGTATGTCCAGTTTATACAGCAACAGTCAAACAGTGTAGGCAAGAGCAGTTTTGTTGCCCAAATGGCTATTCTTGCCATGTTGAAAGCAAACTCCATAACAAGTTTCTTCGATGCCCATCTTCCTCTCAGACATAATTGGTGTTGCCAGGAGCAGACATCTATCATTGTCAAGAAAATCCCTAAACCATTTTAAATGCTATTTTCTGAAGGTCTTTGAAAGGTTTGAAGACTGTGGGATTGAATTTCCATGCAAAGCAACAACAGCTTTAAAGGAATTTTAGAAACAGAAGAACAGAGAGAAGCACAGATTTTAGTAGCAGTATTTTTCTCAGGTGTGTCTGTTTTGCTAGCCACAAGCTGAGATTCACGTGCCTCGCTTACTGGAATCTTCCTGACTCGGCATAAAAAAAACCACCAAGGTTGTTTTAAGAGACTCTGTTAACGATTGAAAGGTGTGTATGTATACCTGGAAGTGGCAGCTTTTGCTGGATGTCAGCATGGACTGAGGTGGTAAGTTGAAATCACGCTTACACCCGCCATCTTGAAAAAAAGGCAGTTAAACTGCCGCGGTTTTAATAGATAAGACACATGGCCAGAAAAACATAAAGATTTACTGTAAAGTCAGACTTGGATAAAGAAAAGCCTCTAAAGGTTTACAGTGTGTTTAAAAATATACGTGAGATTGAGAGAGAAAATGAAACAGCAAAGTGGTATATAAATACAAAAGCTGGCGTTGTGGTGGTGCACGCCGGTAGGATTTACTCCAGAGGCAGAGGCAGGCGAATTTCCAAAGAGAAACCCTGTCTCAGAGAAAAATAAATAAAAGTAAAATAAATAAAGTAATAATAGATAAATAAATAAGCCATGTAAAAATGGAAAATACACAGAGAGTCTGGATACTGTATGCTATTGTGTTTTTCAGTTTTTTCATTGCTAAGGAAGGAACAAATGCTAAAGTACACTTGATTATAAATGCTGCTGAATTAATCCAACTTATATCTTTTGAAAATGCCTTGACTTCAAAATTTAAGTATAAGGATATGTTACTCGGAAAAGGAGATTTTGCATATGTTTCTACAGAAAATGAAAAGCTGAGAATTCCTTCCAGGCTTCTGTGGTTTGATGAACCAAGACCCCCAGAAGCAGTGGACCAGGTGTTCCAACAGCTGAAACAGCTAAGATGATGCAGCTTTACAGTCCACGAAAATAAGGACTTATATGGGTTTCTGAGTTTTGTCATGATAACCATGGTATGAACAGCTCCCCCCTTCCAGCAGGAAGCAGTTTGGAATGAACGACATCCCAATTCCCATCTTGTTCATAAATCTTTGTTTTCATTTAAATGGGATTGTTTATAATTGGTTAATGATCACAACCAATCTCCTTTTAATGGTAAAAAGAGGAATTATGGTATGGGCATTGTTTTTCATTTATTGATGCAAATCCAAGGTCAATTTTGTGATGTGTATATTTCTCCTCTTGATTAAGTATTGTGCTTATACTGATCTTTTAAAACATAATGCATAATTGAATACAGACTATAGATAGTTACTTATAATAGAATTTATAGTTAGGTAAGTTAGGTTTTCTAGATATACAGAAATATATTTGAGATAGATAGACAGTGCTTTATTGACAAATGCACAGGACCTCCCCAACAGAGATATACTATAGAAATTCAGAATATGGTAGAATAGAAAGTTGTGAACACAATTGAAAAATTTTTGTCACAGCCTTAACACTGATAACACAGACACTCAAATCAACAATTAATAATGGGGCCCCATGAAATGGAGAAACTTCCATATGACAGTGAAAAACATTCATACAAATTGGCAGAGTACAGAAAGGCAAAACAATTTTACTACTATGTATTTGATACAGGACTTATATTGAAAACAAAGAATTCAAAATCATCAAGGAAATAAACTGGGTGCAAATCTAAATGGATGACTTTCAACAGCAAACTCACATGAGTGAGAAGAACTTAAAGAAACATTCAGTCTATATTAAAAATCAAACCTAATTTGTTTTCAACTTATATCCATCACATTAGCCAAGCAAGATAAATGAAACAAATAACATCTCATTTTGGCAAGGATGTAGTGTAATAGAAACACTAATCCACTCTTGGTGCTACTGCATAGTTGTACAACCAGTATAAATATGTGTGGGATTCCTCAAGAGGTGGAGAATGGATATACCTCAAGATCCAGTATATTACTACTCTTGGACATGCTTCATCCTGCTAAACAGACATTTGCTCAATCATATTTATGGCTACTATATAACATGAATAATAAAATCCCAGATAATCAGGTTCAAGCTGAAGATCAGAAATCAGTCAACTACTAGAGAGGTCTTACTATTAAAAAATCTTCAGACTGAAAAAAGAACAAGTTTCTGTTACAGACCCCATTATATTCCTCTCTAGTACTGAGATTAATGTCGTGCACCACCATCTCCCCAGCTTCTATGACTGAGTGACAACTTGGATTAAAGTTGTGTGCCACCATTGCCTGGCCTGTACAGCTTTGTATTCTGATATTCAGGCAAGATTTATTAGATCATAAATGAAATATCACACATTTCCCCTTTTGTGACTGAAATAAAAACAATGTAACACTAATATAAGAAAAACTATGTAG